TTCAGATTTTGCTGTTTGAGAAGCTTAGTTGCCCACTAAAAGCACTGGTTCCCATAAGATTTAAATTAAAGATGTTGTGAAGTCACGGATATACCTTGTCTTCTACTTTCTCTTTCTTTGTGGCCTTCAGATCATATTTAGTGACTCAGCTAATTTTTTTACCCACCTCTTAGAAAAGTTGAATGTGTCTGTGACCAAGCACTTAAGGTTATTTCCTTTAAACCAAGTGTTTGAGATGTTTTTAGATTTATAACAGTCTTTGTTTACTGTGTAATTCAGTCCAATTGAGGAACTAGTAAAACTGCATTATCCAGACATCAAAGACAGACATGTAAGAAGAGTGTACTTATACCAGGAAACCTATTAGGTTTCTAACAAGTGGAAAGTTACCAGGTGTCCAAAAATTAACCACTCCCATGCCAGCCTTTTCTTCTTTCTTTCCTTTTTTTTTTTTTTTTGTTAGCTTTTTTAAGTCTGTTAGCATTCTGGGTTTAATATATTAGTTGCTATGTTCTTTTTATTTTATTTTATTCCTTTATTGATTTTAGAGAGAGAAAAAGGTAGAAGGAGAGAGAGAGAAACATCGATGAGAGAACATCAATTGGTTGCTTCCTTCATGCCCCCCGCCAGGGATCGGGCCTACAACCTGGACATGTGCCCTGATCAGAAATCGAACCAGTGACCTCTTGGTGCGTGGGTTGATGCTCAACCACTGGGCCACACCTACATTCTTGATTTGAGAATGTTGCTTTCTTTTTTTTTATCCTCACCCGAGGACATTTTCCCATTTTTTTGTTCAGGTAGAGTGGGAGGGAGAGAGAGGAACAGAGAGAGAGAGAGAAACATCGATGTGAAAGGAACACATCGAGTGGCTGCCACCCGCACGACCAACCAGGGCCGGGGACAAACTGCAACCGAGGTACATCCCCTTAGCGGGAACCGAACCCGGGTCTCTCCGGACCGCAGGCCGACGCTCTAACTGCTGAGCCAAACTGGCCAGGGCGAGAATGTTGCTTTCTTTAGCTTCCTTTGGATAACTGAGACACTTGAATAGAAGTTATATGCCATTTAAAAAAAATTAAATAAGCAGATGTTGAATGGATAATAAATACATTTTAGTATGGTTCAAAATTGAGCCAGTATCTTTATTTCTTGAGGTTTAAGAACAAGTTGGGCCCTGGCCAGTTTGGCTCAGCGGTTAGAGCGTTGACCTGCGGTCCGGAGAGACCCGGGTTCGGTTCCCGCTAAGGGCATGTACCTCGGTTGCAGTTTGTCCCCGGCCCTGGTTGGTCGTGCGGGTGGCAGCCACTCGATGTGTCCCTTTCACATTGATGTTTCTCTCTCTCTCTCTTCCTCTCTCTCCCTCCCACTCTATCTGTACAAAAAATGGAAAAATGTCCTCGGGTGAGTATAAAAAAAAAAAAGAACAGGTTGGGATGTGTTTTCCTGAGATTTCTGTGCAGGAAGATTTTTCGGCCCACTTTACAAAAAAATAAGTGGGCTGATTTGCCAGGTACCTGCAGCAGTCACTTGAGGTAGGACTCGTGTCACCAAGTTGCATTTCAAGATCAGTCCAGTGTGTGGCCTTGAGTCCTGCCAGTCTTCACCCTGGGATGAAGAATTGATAGAGAAGGGCCCTGTTATGGGAGTAGCACCCTTGACTTCCTGAAACCTTCATCAACATTCCCATCTGAGGCTGGCTTTTAACAACCCAGGTCTCCTCATGAGGTGAAACAAAATTGTATATGTGCACTACAGAGTAATGTGAAAAGGCACTTAGATTCTGTTCAGAGCTTTACTTTTCAGGTATTTCAGAGGATGTATGTAAGCATTCTTTATTTAGATATTCCTAAGCATCTTGTAATTTTACTTGGGTAAGCAATCCTGTAGAGGGGGTAGGGGAGGGGTTGATTTGTTTTGTCTCTCCCATGGATGCCTGCTGGAGTCTGGAACTTGGCTTCTTTTTTTTTTTCTCTTCTAATTTTTATTAATTTATTTTTGTTACAGATGTTTCTCCTTTCCCCCCCTAGACACCCACCTCCCCATCTCGCCCCCCCACCCCCCCTAGCATTGTTGTCTATGTCCATTGGTTATGCATACATGCATCTAAGTTCTGTGGTTCATCTCATCCATCCCCCCTGCCCCCCTACTCTGAGGTTTGTCAGTCTGAACCATACTCCTTTCTAAGTCTCTGGGTCTGTTTCGTTCATCAGCCAACTTTGCTTGTTATATTTCACAAATAAGTGAGATCATGTGCTGTTTGTCTTTCTGAAACTTGGCTTCTTTAGGAGCATGCCACTAAGGTGGTCTGGTGGTGATTGCTCGCAGTCATTGGCATTTCTCTTTTGAAAACGGTCACACAAATTTTACATACCACATCCAGCCATATTTTGTTTCCATAGAGGATTTGACTTTCTCGGTTATCAAAGGAAGATATGGGTGTTTGGGAAAGGTCTGTGAAGTTATCATAGGGACAACTGTGCTCCCCCATTCATTGTCCCCTTGTCTCAGTCAGAATAACTTTGGTGGTCTGGCTTCCTGTGACATTTCTTATGAGATAGGCCACAAAAAAACGTAGTAAGGTTGTGGAAATATCGGATTCCTATGAGACATGAGATTCAGAAGAAAATTGCTCTGTTTGTTAATTTTAATTCTCCTTTTTGGGAGATCTCAGGAGACTTTTCATGTGACTGCAAGTTCAGCAGTTGCAAAGTCCTATTTGCGCATCTAAGTAGATACCAGTGCAGTATAAACAGTAATAGCCAGAAGACCGTTTCTGTAGAGGCAGCCAAAGACACGTTTGACTTATTTTAGCTGGAAAGTTGCTAGAGAATTTGTGAGATATTATAACGTTGCATTACTTAATATATTCAAACTTTAGGTCCTATAAGGTGCCACTTTTCAGCCACAGTCTATGGTTCCATAACCTTCAGAAGACAACCCAAACTCTTTGAAAATGGCTTAATCTGGCCCCTGCTCACTTGCTAATGCATCTCACCCATCTCCTCCCCACACCTACTTTGTTTCAGCTGGTTACCCCTTGGGCTATGCTTTTTTTCTGGGAAGAGAGGAGTAGTTGTATATTTCATTCTCACCTGAGATGGAACTTCCTACAGAAAGATTTTTCCAAATCTAAAAGGTTGGGTTTGGAGACTTTTTAATATGCTCTAATAGTCATTCATTTATTCACTTCTTCAGTAAATATTTGTGTCAAGCACTGTGTCATAGGCTGAGGACACAGAAGTAAACAAGACAGGTAGGCCTGTTCTTACAGAGCTTATGTTCTTGTCAAGGAAACCACCCCATATTCATACCCTTCAAAAAGCTTTTTATTTGGGAATAATTACAGACTTGTAGAAAGTTACAAAAATTAAAATAGCACAAAGAAAGATCCTATATACTTTGCCCAAAATCACCTATTGTTAGTATTTTACCTCATTTGTATTCTTACTCTCTATATACACCTAGTTGTTGTTTTTTCTGAACCAGTCACATACATTATGACCTTCTCCCCTAAAATATTTCAGAGTGTATTTCCTAAGTGCGGAGCTATTCTTGGACATGAATGGTACCAACTTCATAAACATACATTGATAAACTTCTTGTATTTAATATTCTGTTACAGTCCAGTGTTGTTAATTGACCTAACAATGTCCTGTAGAGGATCTTCCCTATCCCTTCTCTAATGCAGAATTCAGTCTGGGGTCAAATAATTGCATTTAGATCCAATGTCTCTTTAGCACCCCCTAATCTGTAATGTTTACATAACCATTCTTTGTCAATTATGACATTGGTATTTTTTGAAAAGTATAAAGCAACACCTCCCCCCCCCCCCCGGTACCTTTTTTTGTTATTGTTAATCTTCACCGAGGATATTTTTCCATTGATTTTTTAAATTTTATTATCATTATTATTATTATTTTATTGTTGTTGTTAATCCTCACCTGAGGATATTTTTCCATTGATTTCTAGATAGAGTAGAAGGGGAGGGAGTGGAGAGGAAGAGAGAGACAAAGACAGAAACAAAGACATCGATTGGTTGCCTCTCATATGACCCCAACCAGGGCTGAGGATCAAACCTACAACCCAGGTACTGTGCCCTTGACCCTTTGGTCCGCAGACCAACGCTCTTAACCACTGAGCCAAACTGAGCAGGCCCCCGCCACCCCCAACAAAATCTAGCTCATTTTGTGTTGTCTGATGTTTCCTTGTGATTAGGATGAGGTAATGGATTCTAGGCCATCATGCTGCGTAGTGATGTATCCTCCCGAGGGATCACATTTGAGGACCATGATGTTCTTCTAGCCTTCTTTGGTGAAGACAGCTTTCATTACCCAGCCAAAATGTCGCCCAATTTCTCCACTGTATAATTAGTGGGGGGTTATTCTTTCCTTTATAACTAATAAGTAGTCTTTCAGAGGATATCTAAGTTCTGTACAAATACCCTGCTCCTCATCAAAATCCCTCCCCTAGATTTCGTGTTAAGTTAATGATTCTTGTCTGATCCAGTAGTAAGACCTGAAAGTTTCTCTGTTTTGCAGTGGCTTATAATTTGTTAATATACTTAATTATTTTAGTGCTCAGATGGTCCCAGATTTGACCTGTGGGAGCCCCTTTGACTAACTCCTGTGTCCTTGCGAGGCACCCTATCATTTTTTCAAGCACTTCTTTTCTTGTACAACAAGATGTTCCAGGCTTATCTTGTACCAATGCTGCCCTATTCCTGGAATCAGCCATTTTTCTGAGGAGACCTCAAACCCTTGTTTTAGCACTTAGCATACTGCTTATTATGTTTCTTCCTCTGTTAGATGACATTGTACCTCTCTGAGGACACATTGATGTCAGTTGTATTCACTCTTATGTCTTCACCCAGCATTAGGCCTGGCACATTCACTGCTGTATTTGTTGAATAAGAATATTGATTTTTGCTATAGTTCAGTGACTATAATTAGGTTCCAAAATGATGATGCTGATGGGTTTTCTTTTTTTCCCCCATGTAGGAAGAAATGTTGGCTATTTGGCGATGAGAAGTGACAAAAACTGACCTCATACTGGTATACAAACACTATGGAACCTGACACTTTTGTTGCAAGGGCAACCAGTCCCCACTGATAATGTTGGGAAGCCACTGGGTCCACTGGAAAACACTAATCTGATCTCGGAAGGCTGATTGTGGCAGGATGTGTCGACAATGATGATGGCAAGAAAGCAAGATGTCCGCATTCCCACCTATAACATCAGTGTGGTGGGATTGTCTGGGACTGAGAAGGAGAAGGGCCAGTGCGGTATTGGGAAATCTTGTCTGTGCAACCGCTTCGTGCGCCCAAGTGCTGATGAATTTCATTTGGACCATACTTCTGTCCTTAGCACCAGTGACTTCGGTGGGCGAGTGGTCAATAATGACCACTTTCTCTACTGGGGAGAAGTTAGCCGATCCCTGGAGGATTGCGTGGAATGTAAGATGCACATTGTAGAGCAGACTGAATTTATTGATGATCAGACTTTTCAACCTCATCGAAGCACGGCCCTACAGCCCTATATTAAGAGAGCTGCTGCAACAAAGCTCGCATCAGCTGAAAAACTCATGTACTTTTGCACTGACCAGCTGGGGCTGGAGCAGGACTTTGAGCAGAAACAAATGTCAGATGGAAAGCTGCTAATTGATGGTTTTCTTCTTGGTATTGATGTTAGCAGGGGCATGAATAGGAACTTTGATGACCAGCTCAAGTTTGTCTCCAATCTCTACAATCAGCTTGCAAAAACAAAAAAACCCATAGTGGTGGTCCTGACTAAGTGTGATGAGGGCGTTGAGCGGTACATTAGAGATGCACATACTTTTGCCTTAAGCAAAAAGAACCTCCAGGTTGTGGAGACCTCAGCAAGGTCCAACGTAAACGTGGACTTGGCTTTTAGCACCTTAGTGCAACTCATTGATAAAAGTCGGGGAAAGACGAAAATCATTCCTTACTTTGAAGCTCTCAAGCAGCAAAGTCAGCAGATAGCTACGGCAAAGGACAAATACGAGTGGCTGGTGAGTCGCATTGTGAAAAACCACAATGAGAATTGGCTAAGTGTCAGCCGAAAGATGCAGGCCTCTCCTGAGTACCAGGACTATGTCTACCTGGAAGGGACTCAGAAAGCCAAGAAGCTGTTTCTCCAGCACATCCATCGCCTCAAGCATGAGCATATTGAGCGCAGAAGGAAGCTGTACTTGGCAGCCCTGCCATTAGCTTTTGAAGCTCTTATACCCAATCTAGATGAAATAGACCACCTAAGCTGCATAAAAGCCAAAAAGCTCTTGGAGACCAAGCCAGAATTCTTGAAATGGTTTGTTGTGCTTGAGGAGACCCCATGGGATGCCACCAGCCACATTGACAACATGGAGAACGAACGGATTCCCTTTGACTTAATGGATACGGTTCCCGCAGAGCAGCTGTATGAGGCCCACTTAGAGAAACTACGGAACGAAAGGAAAAGAGCTGAGATGAGAAGGTCGTTTAAAGAAAACTTGGAGACCTCGCCTTTCATAACTCCTGGAAAGCCTTGGGAAGAGGCCCGTAGTTTCATCATGAATGAAGATTTCTACCAGTGGCTGGAAGAATCTGTATATATGGATATCTATGGCAGACACCAAAAGCAAATTATAGACAGAGCAAAGGAAGAGTTTCAGGAGCTGCTTGTGGAATATTCAGAATTGTTCTATGAGCTAGAGCTGGATGCAAAGCCCAGCAAGGAGAAGATGGGGGTCATTCAGGATGTTCTGGGGGAGGAACAGCGATTTAAAGCATTACAAAAGCTCCAAGCTGAGCGTGATGCCCTTATTCTGAAGCACATTCATTTTGTATACCATCCAACAAAGGAAACGTGCCCTAGCTGCCCAGCTTGTGTGGATGCTAAGATTGAACACTTGATTAGTTCTCGGTTTATCCGGCCATCTGACCGGAATCAGAAAAATTCACTTTCTGACCCCAACATTGATAGAATCAACTTGGTTATCTTGGGCAAAGATGGACTTGCCCGAGAGTTGGCCAATGAGATTCGAGCTCTTTGTACAAATGATGACAAGTATGTGATAGATGGTAAAATGTATGAGCTTTCCTTGAGGCCAATAGAAGGGAATGTCAGGCTTCCTGTGAACTCTTTCCAAACACCAACATTTCAGCCCCATGGATGTCTCTGCCTTTACAATTCAAAGGAATCTCTGTCCTATGTGGTGGAGAGTATAGAGAAAAGTAGAGAGTCCACACTTGGCAGACGAGATAATCATTTAGTTCATCTCCCCCTGACGCTAATTTTGGTTAACAAAAGAGGAGATACCAGTGGAGAGACGCTGCATAGCTTAATACAACAAGGTCAGCAGATTGCTAGCAAACTTCAGTGTGTCTTTCTGGACCCTGCTTCTGCTGGCATCAGTTACGGACGAAACATTAATGAAAAGCACATCAGTCAAGTTTTGAAAGGACTTCTGGACTCTAAGCGTAATTTAAACCTGGTCAGTTCTACTGCTAGTATCAAAGATCTGGCTGATGTTGACCTGCGAATTGTCATGTGTCTGATGTGTGGAGATCCTTTTAGTGCAGACGACATACTTTTTCCTGTCCTTCAATCCCAAACCTGTAAATCTTCCCATTGTGGGAGCAACAACTCTGTTTTACTTGAACTACCAATCGGACTACACAAGAAGCGCATTGAACTGTCTATTCTTTCATACCATTCCTCATTTAGCATCAGAAAAAGCCGGTTAGTCCATGGGTACATTGTTTTTTATTCAGCCAAACGTAAGGCCTCCTTGGCTATGTTACGTGCCTTTCTTTGTGAAGTGCAGGATATTATCCCCATTCAGCTGGTCGCACTCACTGATGGCGCTATAGATGTCCTGGACAATGACTTAAGTCGGGAACAGCTGACTGAGGGGGAGGAGATTGCTCAAGAAATTGATGGCAGGTTCACAAGCATCCCCTGTAGCCAACCCCAGCATAAACTTGAGCTCTTCCACCCATTTTTTAAAGATGTGGTGGAGAAAAAGAACATAATTGAAGCTACCCATATGTACGATAACGTTGCCGAGGCCTGTAGCACCACAGAGGAGGTGTTCAACTCTCCTCGAGCGGGCTCTCCACTCTGCAACTCAAACCTGCAGGATTCGGAAGAAGATATCGAGACCCCTTCTTACAGCTTATTTAGAGAAGATACATCACTGCCCTCCCTGTCCAAAGACCATTCTAAGCTCTCTATGGAACTGGAGGGAAATGATGGGCTGTCTTTATTCATGAGCAACTTTGAGAGTAAACTGAACAACAAAGTACCTCCGCCAGTCAAACCAAAGCCTCCTGTCCATTTTGAAATTACGAAGGGGGATCTGTCTTACTTAGACCAAGGCCATAGAGATGGACAGAGGAAGTCTGTGTCGTCTAGCACCTGGCTACCTCCAGATGGGTTTGATCCTTCTGATTATGCTGAACCCATGGATGCTGTGGTCAAGCCAAGGAATGAAGAAGAAAATATATACTCAGTGCCCCATGATAGCACTCAAGGCAAAATCATCACCATTCGGAATATTAACAAAGCCCAATCTAATGGCAGCGGGAATGGATCTGACAGTGAAATGGACACTAGCTCTCTAGAACGAGGCCGCAAAGTATCCATTGTGAGCAAGCCAGTGCTATACAGGACGAGATGCAGCCGGCTGGGGAGGTTTGCTAGTTACCGAACCAGCTTCAGTGTGGGGAGTGATGATGAGCTGGGGCCCATCCGGAAGAAAGAGGAGGACCAGGCATCCCAAGGTTATAAAGGAGACAATGCTGTCATTCCATATGAAACAGATGAAGACCCAAGGAGGAGGAATATTCTTCGCAGTCTAAGAAGGAACACTAAGGTAAGACATCTGGTTAGAAGTACATCATAGGAGTAGCTTGCACAGTTTCTCAGTGAGAGTTGATTGACGATGATGATTTTCAAGGACAGCTTATTCTGGTAAAAATCTGATGTGCTGGTAAAAATCTGGGGTGTGTGTGTGTGTGTGTGTGTGTGTGTGTGTGTGTGTACACACCTTGTGTTGCTCTGGCTGGTTTGGCTCAGCAGTTAGAGCATTGGCCCATGTATCAGTGAGTTGCGGGCTCGATTCTGGTCAAGGGCACATTCCTCGGTTGCGGTTCATCCCCGGCCTTGGTCGGGTTATGCGGGAGGCAATCAGTCGATGTGTCTCTATCTCATCAATGTTTTTCTCGTGTCTCTCTTTCTCTCTCTCCCTCCTACTGTATCTGATAATAAATAGAAAAATATTCTTGGGTGAGGAATAAAAAAGTAAGCAGTGTTTTTGATAGCTACTGCTGCCAGTTCTCAATAGTAAGGACCTTGGATAGGCAGCCGGAGTTGTCTTTGTTCAAAATGATAGTTACTTAATTACCAAAATGAGCAGATAGTGTTGAACTTGTCAGTGTCCTGACAGTTGGCCAAGCTAGTGATGCTTTGCTTGTTATTCCTTCACTTAAACACCAGAATCCAAAATTGTGTGCTTCAGTCTCACTGCTAAACAGTACATCTCTTACTTGCTCCTTTTCTCCATAAGGTCATTTTAGGTTAGGAAATTTGATAATTATTTTATTGGCACACACAAATCAGTAAAGGGTATTCAAGTATATAAATGAAAAATTAGGACCTTACCACTGCAAGTTCTAAACCTGTCCTGTATTTGCAGTGTCAGAAAGGGGCAGGGCAGTATTATTGTGTTCTGTTCCCCTCCCACTCTGAGCTGAATATTAATAAATGTTGTAAGCATTCTTTTCCTGTCTGATTTCCCCTGGTTTGTTTTTCCACTTGGATTCCTTTATCTGCTTCTAGTATTTTGTTCTCCAAAGGTTTGTAGTAGACAGACCCATTGAAGGCAAGAAGCCAGTAAGTAGCCTGACCTGCCTCCCAGTATTTCTCCTTAAGCTCTCCTGTTTAATGATACTGGGATCCAAACATTTTGTCTTCTTCCTCCTCCACTCTCAGTGTTAACCAGAATAGCTTATCTAAATGCTGTCTTCTAATTTGTGGGGGTGTTTGCACATCTGGGAATTAGGAAGGTGGCATAATAGCACACTGGGAATTATAACTGTTTTTCTGACTTCTATTTTTAATACCTGTTGAAAATAATGCTTTTAAAATACATTCCCAAACAAGCCATGCTTTAAACTTGAAAGAGCACACGCTGTGTAGGCTCAGCAGAAAACCTCTGGATAAAGTGAGCCTCTGAGATAGCTGCATCCGTGCTGGTAATGAGCACTTTTTACCTAAGAACTTCTTTACTCTGGATTGCTGGGTCAGCATGCAAGAAGTGATTGACTTCCCATCTATCTTAGTTATGTGTGCCACACCTCTTCAAGTTAAATAAAAATGATACCTCTGGCCCAAGAGCAGTAGCGTGCCAGAAGTCAATTTAGGAGTATCCTTTGGAAAGAGTGAGTAAAAGGTGAAATTGTCTTTTCCTGTCTTGGAAAATGGTGCTTTGAAATGAGTGTATCTGCTTTGTCGTCTTAATGCAGAGATAAGCAAAGCCTTGATCCTCTTCCTGGTTGGAGCAAACCTCCAATTAAAATTGCTGCCATTAATGCAGACTGACACTTGTTTTACTGGAAAAGCAAGATACCATGGGCCAGAGAATGCTACGCCAGCCCCTACATGGGGGATTTGGCCTTTGATTTTTATTAGCATGACAAAGCAATAAGTATTTATTTGAAGTGAGTGGGGGAGCCAGTTGGTAATGGAAAACACAGTGCCTCCTGCATGCTAGGCATCACTGAGGAAATGGCACAGATCCTTCTTGCCTAGACCTATGCCCCCAGCTGAGGCAGCAAGACCTACACAGATGGTGAAAATAGGTGGTCTGCCTTGGTGGAGTGGGGTGCTGTGTTGGAGCAGAGCGGAAATCTGTTGGGGGTGGTTAAGGTAGTGTAGTTTGTGATTAGGAGCTCAGGCTTTGGGAAGGGGTATGCTAAATCCCAGCTCCTCCACTTCCTCACTGGGGCACATGATTGACCTCTCCACATCCCTTCTGCAAAAGGGGAGAATGTAGGTAGTAGCAAATTACTCATATGGTTGAGGGGAATGGAATGAGCTTATGCACGGAAAACACTGAGCATACTGCATACTGAATAAGCATTAGTTATGATATTATTTAGCTAGACCTTGAATGAGGTATGAAAAGGCTAGACGGTGAAAAAAAAATGCAGGTTGTATTCAAAGAAAATGGTCTGGTGTAGCTGTGGGCTTGGGGGGGACCAACATTGTTCCTTCCTTTTGTATAAGTTTTAACCCTATGTGTTACTTAGCTACTTTCTTAGCACTTACCCTAGCAACAGCCCCAACAACAAAGAAAGCTATGCTCTGGGTACCAAGTGATGTGGAGAGAAATTGCTCAGCCTCTTGGCTCATTTGCTAGATTAGCTCTTTACTGTAAAATTGGACTTGGTGTGAGGGACTCACTTTCATTTCTACTAATGAAAGTGCAGACTGTAGAGCTGACTCTGATTCTGGGTCCTTTTCCCAGCTGAACCATTTAGCAACCCACCCTCATAGTGGGAGCCTTCCACACACAGCTGAATGAAATTGAAAATCTACGATTGCACTTCAGTGGGATCTATGAATAGATGCTTTGTCTGTAAAGAGTTGTTGTTGCACATGGTCTCTGTCTCCCAGTGCCATGTGTTTGCAAAGGGGAGATCAGGACTGGCAGGGTCTTATTTTAAAGCCAAAAAACAGGCTGGGAGCCTTGCTCTACAAAGTATGCCTTTTGGGCAACCTCGAATTGCTGAATTTAGTTTGTTTGACCATGGATAAAGAGAAACCATTATTGGTAATTTACCCTTCTATCTTATGTGCTTTTATTTTTGTGTTAAAAAACAAAAAAACAAAACAGAATGATAAAGAAAATCTTTCACTCACTGGAGCCTACCTCATGACAAGACAACCTATTGAAAAGCAAACCAATTCAATCACGCATTGTTTGGTCTATAAGGCACCAAGTAGTCAGTTTGACAGTTTGTGTCCCCCCAGTGAATTGGCTTATTTTATTGGATTCAGTGAATTGGCTGGTTGTTGTGGCTTTGTGTGGACACAGCTCTCATTTTGTAAGGCCTAGAACGGAGTTAAAGTTTCTAGTGTGAATAAAAACCAGCTGGGGAATTGGGCTGCTCCCTCCCTAGGGAGGGATGTTGCATTTTGACAGACAGGCTGAATGGTATGAAATATGATCTCCTTGACCTGCTCAGGAAAGACTCAGTGTGTGCTTCCAAAAGGCTAGTCCTACTCAATGAGCTATGAGGACAAATAAATACCTTGGTCTTAAAAATGGGGTGAGGGCATTGACTTGACCTTAGGTTTTCTGATTCCTGAACGAATTTTATCTTTTAAAAGCAATACTTTTGCTCCAAAGCTCATGTTTATTCATTCTTTTAGGAAGGAAACAATTCAGTCTTAGGCATTTAGTGAGCACTTGTGTTTGTCTAGTTCAGGTCACAGGGATGATGGATGTTAAACATGTACTTACATGCATTTTGAATGTTACCACAGGGGAGGTACAGGGTACTGTGGAATTGTGTATCAACGAGTTTTTTTTTTTTTATATCCTCACCTGAGGACACTTTTTCGATATTTTGTTCAGATAGAGTGGGAGGGGAAGAGAGAGAGAGAAACATCGACGTGAAAGGGACACATCAAGTGGTTGCCACCCACACAACCCAACCAGGGTCGGGGACAAACTGCAACCGAAGTACATGCCCTTAGCGGGAACTAAACCCAGGTCTCTCCGGACCACAGCCAATGCTCTAACTGCTGAGCCAAACCAGCCAGGGCTATCAAGGAGTTTTAACCTCAACTAGGATATCTGGGAAAACTCCCCAAAGAAATGATACATAAAGCTGAGACTTACAGAGTGAGGCAGGCAAATTCAGTGAAGATAGAGGTTTCATTGGGGGAGCTTTCAAGAAAACAGTATGGAACTTGGAGCTGCAAAAACATGGCACATTCAAAAAGTTAAAAGAAACCTAGAGTGGCTACTGCAAAAAGTGAGGTAGAACCAGGCCAAATAACAGGGCTGTGTATACCATGTGTAGGGTTTTGTACTTTGCTACCTTTATTAAATACCTACCTATTGGGTGCCAAGTACAGTACCAGGCATTTCCATACCACTTTTCATCTATTTCTCTTATCAGTGATTTTTAAAATGTTGGGTTTTAGAGATGAGAAAACAGGCTCAGAGAGATTAACCCTGTCCAAGTTAGTGTAGTTACTAAGTGGAGGAGCTGAGATTTTTAAAGCCTAGTCCTCTAACTTCCACTTTTGGTGGGCTTTTAGAATCCAGTCTACTAGAAAGACAGTAATATTCAGTAGCCAGGCACACACTTGGACCACTCAGTCCAGTCAGTTTGTTCCTTTCAGACAAATTATGTGGAAAAAAAAATCCATTTCCCCACACTGCCTCTTAAAAACAGCATAGTGCTGTTTGTTTCTAGCTTTGGAGTCTAGTTGAGTAGAGGACAAAAAGGCATGGAGACACTGAAATAGCAACTGGAACTTTGAGAAATTGTTTTGAAGTAGTGTCATTCGTTTCTAAGTTTATTTTAAGCCCAAAGCACTGCTGTAGTGTGTTTTTGGTGACAAAAATAGACTATCTTTAACTATCTGCCTTAGCTTACAGCACACCTGCCCTTAAAAAATATATATTACAATAGGCAACCCAAATCTATCTTCAAAGAACAGGGAATTGCTCTGATCTTCACTGAGCCAGTTTGTTCTCCTCCAACTCCTAGTGATACTGAAATATATTTGTAAGGACCCAGATTATTTCAGCTCAAGTCGGGAATCAACTTCACTTTCATAGAGAAAGGCCTTCTG